GATTACGTATCCTGAACGTATAACGTATTTAGAGCTAGATAGATAATTATCTTAATTAGAACAGATTGTTTTGCGTTGCGCAATATATTTAATAAATTCTTAGAGAGCGTACAGTGAAATTAAATGCAATATCGATGTTTAAGTAACCGTCAAAGCTTTTCTCTCACTTTCTCTCACATCGACATACAAAAAGGTACGTTTTTATTGCATGTGTATATCCGCTGGAGAGTGAGACTTCAACAGCGCAGTGCAACATTCTGCATCCGAGGGTAGAGATATTTTCAATTGCGCGATTTTTAATCCCTCCCTCCCCCCTCCCCGGTGTTTTGCGACCGGATCGGTTCGAAATAGACGGATTTATGCGGAGCGACTATGTATGTACGTACATATACGAGCCCAGCGAACCGTATACGAACGCTGTTAAATTCCGTCGATCGGCTATTCAACGGTGGATCGAGTGCTGTTAACCCTACGGGTTCGCTCACAATTCTCGGGTGTTATCGCATCTCACCGGGAAAACGAGGACGCGCCATCCCGGGATTATTCGGCAGCTTGAACCGACATCGAGACAATATAATGTCAGAATTACATCAGGTATCTCCTACGGAAGAAGAGCGTCGGAGCTTCTTCTCGTCGTTTATTATCCAGGCGCGGGTTTCGATCGCTTTTATTTCCGTTTCCACTATCGAGTAACATCTTTACTTTCCCATTCACTTTTCGATTGCAATTCGCGCTATTTATTTTATTTTCTTTATCATCCAAATGCTCTGCCTACACACATATCTGCGCTAGCCGAGTTATGTGCGGCCGTGCTTTTGTTGCTTGGTTAGAACAATGTGACATTCAAAATGTGTTCACCCTTTTCCCAGATAAAGTCCCGAAGATGTACGAGGCCGGGGTGAATTATTCGTCGCGCGTGTGGCACTATGCGTCGCGTGTCTCATGGCGATAATGTAGGCGCAATGTAAATGCCATGTACCGCCATTTCCAAGAACGTGATCACGTCAGGAAAGAAGCAAGATTTATTATTTAAACAGCATCTCAGGAAGACACCGCTGTCCGAAAAAAATGCATAAAATATCAGCTTACGCGACAATCGCAAAACAATCGTACGTTCTTACGTAATCGCATAAACACCAGATTCGTGTTAATTAGCATTTATGTCAAAATAATGGTCATCGCCGTGCAAGTAGAAAAAAAAAAAAAAATGAATGTCGCATTTATCACACACACGTTTAATTTCTTTCCGCATATTAAAGCGAAAAAATGATCTTTTTTTTGTATAAAATGAATAAAATGAACCTCTGCCTCTGCAAACGAGGGGAAAAAAAAAAACAAACAAAAACCTGTTCCACTCTGCGGGTTTCGTAATGAACGTTCGTCTATTCAAGACACACTCGTGGAACCCAATCATTTTTCCAATCGATTTGCGGAGAATGAACACTCATTTCAGAAGAAAGCCGACGGCAAAACAGAGAATCTCTGGAATAACGAAAGAACGCGATAACGAGCCACTTGTGGGAATGAAAATCTCTCCCCTTCTGCTTCTCAGTCTCCGTCTGACTGGGCTAATCTTGCGGAACTTCTAATGCCGCATAAACGATATAAACAGTCACCGTGAGAGATCTAATGCGGAACTTGACGTCGGAAAATTGTGCACGCAAAACACAACAAATAACAATAACGTTTATACTTCGTGATTCATCGTTTAAATTGTTCAGGTTTTTTTTTGCTAAAATAAAAAAAACCGGATGCGAATCTGCGATTAAACTGCGGTTCTCATCTTCTCGCTGTGATTTATGTAATCGCCGCTAATCAGTTACGTGTGCGCGACATTAAAAAAAAGGAAACAACGAATATATATATATACATACACGACAATTGCTCTGTGATATAATCTCTTGATCGGAGAGAGATTTTTCCTCTTCGCGTCGAGAAACACAGAAATTGCCAGAGTAGGGTAATGCCTGTGGATAATTACAGTAGGTAGTCGTCGGCGGCCTGTATAAACAATCAAACGCGTTTCCACAGATATTGTCCGGTAATTGAATATTCATAGACCAGACACTATTTACATTTTGTCGGATTATCATCATCGTTGGCCAAACCTGCGGAAAATGTACTTACGTCCTTGAATTTCTGAAAGAGACCTTAATGGAAACAAACAATTTTGCTGCTCGAGGAGATTTTCGAGAAGCGCGAGTTTGCTCTCCGAGAGAATGTGCTGCGCCCATCTATATTTGTGTGTGTACTTTCTTTTTTTTTTTTTATACTAATATTATAAGAATACTAATATTACAAGAATACACAACGATGTTTATATAAAGAAAATTTCTCACATCTTGTAATAAAAAAAGATTTATTCATACGAAGTCGTTTTTTTTTTTTTTAATCATCTTCACGGCATTTGTTAATTTCGCACTGAAAACAAGTGATGTAATCAAACAGAAATAACTTAGCTTAGTAATAATACACGTGCTAATAACGTAACATGTAGTTTGAGCACCATTCCGAATTCAACCCTCGTTTTGCTTGCAATGAGACCTCCGGCGCAGGGCAGCAGCGGGAGTTTCGCATCGACGTTGCTTTGAAGGGTTGATTCGGCGGCCATGTTTGGTTACAGAAAATTTCACAATCCTCCCCCGTGGTCGGCCCTTGATAGCAGCTTGCACGACACGTAAACTAACAAAGGGCTATAAGCTCGTGATGTTGCTGTTGGAGGTTGCGCGTCTTTAGAAACTCTGCAAATTCTAATCCTCTCGCTAACCTAACTATTACCCACAGTTATTTTCTTACGTATCTAAAATAAAATGTGCAATTTCAAACTATTTCTGCAAACTCTGAATGTTTTCATTTGATATTTCCGCGATTAAGCATACAAAACGAAAACGTGGATAAATGTTTGCATTCTGCTAGCAGCTTTTGTGCGCGAGTTGTGAATTTCGAAGAGATTCTCGTGAATGGGGGTGGATGGTCGATCGCGGGAGGGGTGGCCATGACGACCATGTCGGTTCCCAATTAAACAAATGCCGGTAGGAACTCGAGCAACCCCTCCAGGCACCGGCGTCCATCTCTTCTTGCTCTCTTGGTAGATATACGTGAATGAATTTGCTTCTCTCTCTCTCTCTCTCTCTCTCTCTCTCTCTCTCTCTCTACTACTATTTTGCCCTTGCGGAGACCAAGAGGGTTTCGAGCGTCGCACGTGTCGTGCGGCATGCGAAATTCGAGCTGAATTCACCACGTGCGCACGCTTCACAGTCGAGAGCTACATTTGCTTACAAAAGTTACATTGGATTACATTTGCTTCACGAAAAAAGCCGAAAAAAAAGAGCATGTGCGAGAGAAACTGCACATCGTACTTCCGATTTTCTTTTGAATATCTGTAATATAATATAACAATATAAAATAAAAATATCTACTAGCATAAGAATTGACAAAACACAAGAAAAATTTTAAAATATCTTCTAGAATATAAAACTATATATCATTAAATATAATTCCAAAGATCCAAAAAGTGCAAAATTGATTGGATTAAGAAATAAAAATAGTATGTATTAAAAATCATTTCAAACTTGTTGATTGTTCTTATCAGACGCAGATTTTTGTGAGTAAATGTACTTTCTGCATTTCTCTCTTTCTGCCACATGCTTCGCTCGCTGATTGCCTGTGGCGTTATAATCGACGAAGCGCATACGAATCGTGTGCGTGCGGGCGACGGTTTTGTAATAGCGCGCTGTCTAACGCATTCGATCGGGTGGTGGTACAGCTAAATGTGACATTGAACTTGTTCAAAACCGCGTCAGGAATTTAGAAGCTCTACATATCTCACAATATATTCGATTGACAGTCTAGAGTCCGGTGTCGGACGCATTATACTTGCGTATTTGTGATTCGTGCGAAATTCGTAAATAATGCGAAAGAAACAATTCACGTCGATTCACGCACATGTCGTATTTTCTTTTTTTTTTTTATAATAATTTTCACGAATTTCATACGAATTACGAGAATCGCGAATACACGACCATCTAAAGGTTTTGAGCGAAAGGCTCGCAGAGAGAGAGAGAAGAACGTACATTTCCAACACTCTGTCCTTTAGTGACTTCTTCCGTAGATTACATCACGAGGCCAAATATTGGAGCGCCTCTTCGAGGCACCGGCCGAATTGTTTAACTTACGCGATTGTGCGTTTCGAGCCGGGTTATACTTCGTTCAGAGCACTAGGCAACGACTATGGAAGCTCTGCTAATCCGAAAAGCGGCTTAGAGCAAACGCGAGACCGAACCCGACGAAACGCGGGATTTCCTCGACTTTCGTCGTGTGTACTTTGCGTTCGAGCATTATTATCTTGTCAGAAAACAATATTCCGGAAGAATGACTTCAAGGCCGATTTATTTTAACGCATATGTTTCGTGTCCGTGCGATATGCGCGTCCGATCGGAGCAACAAAAAAAACTTGGTTGTTAATATTTTCCAATATATCATACATTAATCGGGCGATAAAATTAGAGAGATACGGCACTGTACATAAAACTGACTGTGCATAAAACAGCCTTTACTCGAATCCGCGAACACAAAGATTGCTTATGTAAAAAAAAAATGTCCAATACCGGAAAAACACTTAGATATGTACGTGTATTCGTATAATAACAAGCTTAAGCTTGAGAGAACACACCGAAGAAAAATATGCATAATTAAATGTTAAAATCTGCGTTCAAAAATATTTGCAAATGTTTCCAAGTAAAAATGTGTTGTAACACACGCCGCCTGTTATCTATTGGCACAAGTGATTGACACTAGAACTCGTCATGTACTAACGAAGATATATTGTTACTTTTTTTCCTACGTATAATAGGAAAAAATACACAAAGACGTATGAAGTTTTAAATATAAAAAAATATTTCGGTTGTATATATTATTTATTTTATATCTTGACGTGTACGTGAAAATACTTTACATTCATCGTTGTCATGAAACATTACGCATAAATTACTCCCTATTATTCGGACATTCACTTACAGGAATGCATGCGCTGTCATCACTGGTAATTCGCGCGTATCCATTTTTGCAATAACAAGCATCGTTACATCTCTAAAAAAAAATGAATAAATATGTTAGTGAAACTCAAAATATATTTACAATACAATAGAACGTATATATATATTATATTTTCAGAATCTCATAAATTAATTTTTGTGATATCTAATAAGTGTTAATTAAATATCTATATATTTATATATATATATACAAAACTAGCTATAGGACAATATTGTCCCAAGGTGATGCAAGTTGTCTGACAAGCCGATCCACATTGATATTCTTCATTCTCGCGACTACAATTTAATGGCACTCGGTATGCAAATGTGCCTGGAAATGTTTAAATTTTGTGTCAAACATATATTTGTCATATACAACACTTACCAAGTTTGACAAGAAGTCTTATATATTATGCAAACAAAATGTTGAAACAAGTTACATATTGCATCAATTTACATGATTTTCGACAAAGTTTATATCGTTATTATAAAACCACTTAAAAAAAAAATAAAATAAAAGAAGAAAAGCAGAATTAAAAATACAGTTTAGTTAAGTTAGTTAGTTTATCAAAAACGATATAAAGATGTTCTTGTAAAAAATGTTCTTATGAAAATATTCTAATAATTTCATCATTTGTGCGCATCGCTCGTAAGATTACGGCCAGTGGTCGAAAGGTCAGTGAGACAAAGTTATCGTCTATTTCTTGTTCGATTTTGTGATAGAAGATATATTATAATATAAAATTATAGTTTGTTCTATCGCGCACTTTCTTCACAAAATAATAAAATCAATATTTACACGCAGAAAATATCGCCAATGCAACGAATAACACGATCACTATACGAGACATTCCTACAGGTCTTGCAACAAAAATGTTTTTCATCACAATATTCGTATTTCTGACTCACAACTGACACGACTTCGTGCTGTCGGATATCTTATATAGCGCTGTGTGAGAGAAAGCATTGTGTATATCTGGTTATCCTCGTGAATACAAATAAACGATAAAAAATGCGTTGTAACATACGCCGTCTGTTATTTAGTGACATGTTAGCGATACTGTATAACATCGAACAATTAAATTAATGATTCTACAGTGAGTTCTAAGTGATCACTAAAATTTGTCATCTAATAGCGGAGATGTTGAAGAAGTAAATCATGGTATCTAGCCATCTACTTTTTTTATGTGCAATAAAACACTACATAAAAACATGAATGTTTGAAATAAACAAAATATTTCAAAATATTATATATAATATTGTTACATTTTGACGTAAGAACAAGTAATTTTGCATCCGCTTGGATGAGCAAAAATAAAATAAAAAACATTATAACGTCAAAACATTATTTTTCTATTAATGCCAATTAACAGATAATCTTTAAATTATATTTGCGCAATCGGGGAAGTCCCGAGTGAGATTATAGCTTGATCCATCGTGATTCCCCCATCTTGCTTAAATATATTCTTGGAAGATAGAGAACTATCGTATATCTCGCTCGATTACATCGTCACATCGCATGTTTTGCTGCATTTCTATATTTAGAATAAACACGGCACGTTTTGTAGTCTCGACTGGCAAGTAGTTTGCTTACACAATATTGTTTTATCTTTATCTCTCTGACATAACATTAGCTGTAATTACAGCAATAAGGTAACTGAGAAATTTAATTAAAATTATCGATACATGAGTGAACAATTTTCATTATCTCGCTTGGTGAAAAACTAGAGAAATCGAGGGTACTAAGAAAATATACTGATAATAAAATATAATTTTTATAAATTTAATCTTGTAACTTATAGAATATTGTGTAGACGATTAGACACAATGCATTGACACGATTTTTGCTTACATATAAAATAAACTATTTTTCATGTCTGCGTAGTATAATATCGAAAACAATGAGTATTTATTTATATTCAATAAAAAGACTCTCGAAAAACAGAATCAGAAATACATAAAAATTATTATATTTAATATAATTTGTGCATATATCGCCCGCTAGATTGCGGTCAGTAAAGTCGTAAGGTCAGTGGGACAGAGTCACGGCAGTTATCGTTTAACTTGCTGCTCGATACAAAGGCTGCACGTTGAAAGCTGTGTGACAAGAGCGAGTTAAAGCGTAAAAGCGAGAGAAATACGAAGGCTGACCGGAGAGCGAAGGAAAGTCGATGGCGAAACGAGCAGGGAATCTCGAGAAGAGCCCCCCCAATCGAGTTTTCCCGCTGTCAGAGTCGGATGGCGGTGCGTCGTGAAATGCTGAATAGGACTGTCGAGACAATGAGAATGGAGAGGAGAAACGCGTAGGAACAATTACACGCCGAGTTTTCCAAGTAATTAAGTCGTCGACCCGCCATTGTAGGGAAACAGCTCGCTCGCGCGATTCGCGCATCTTTGAATTCTCGCCGCGAATCGATATCGAAAAGATGATAGCTGATATGATCGCTTTCACATTTTCATGTCACTTTGTGACTAAAATGCGTTTAACTTTTTTCCCGCAATTTGCGCCGTACAAAGTTACGTGAACAAACACAGAACGCGCGTTTATTCATGTTGCAAATAATTATGATTCGTAAATATACATGGTTAGAGATTCGGTATCTTTTGATCAAATACGTTATCAGAATGAATTACTCCAGGTGCTTCGATTTGTGAAAAAGTTCCAACTAAAAGCAAGTACGCGCAAACAATAATTCAATTCTCTATCGTAATAAATTCAATTCGAATCGCCGGATATTCGATTCTCGGCGCTCTTTACGCGAAATAAAAAAAAAAAACTATGTACCAGGAGAACGAGGGGGAGCAGAAGGGTCAGCCCTGATTCACTTGAGCCATCTCGCCAATGGCAAAATGGCATTTAGGGTAAAAGCGTATTCGGGAAGCGGTCAGATTGACCGTCGTGCCCACGCTGACAAAAAGGACACAACGTACATATTTTGCAAGTTCGGAATTTCTCAGTTGATTGAATAAGACGTTCTTCTTTCTTGCCTTTTTTTTTCTGACGCAAAATCCACTAATTGCCGAATGCCGGGAAGCTGCCTTAGAAATTTAATATATGCGTAAATTATCGAAGAATTGAATACACTCTCTTTCTTTCTCTAGTTCTTTTAACAAACTCGATTAATAAATAAGAAAAAATCTAATGGCACAAGCCAGTTTTTTAAAAAAAAACTCAGTGCCGTTCAAGATTTTTTTTTTTTTTATTACGGAATTTAATACTTTATTTTGTTTAATATTTTATTTTGTTCAAATAATATTGTATGAATGTGACTTAAACATGTTATATAAATAAACAACAAGTTTCTACAAACATGATTTGAACGTAGGAATATTTGCGCGTAGTAAAAAATATAAAACTGCACAAAACACTGACAAGAAAATATTACTTACATATTAGTGTCACTCGAAGACACCGGTCTCGTTTTACTCTTCTCTTACTCATCATCGCCGTGGTGATATCTTGAACTAGTAATTTTACGAATATTACATAAGTCAAGTGTTTTCTACAAGATAATGAACAAATACGGCACACAAGAGTACAACGATAAGAAAGACAATAATCACTAGAATTTATTTTAAGCCTGCGACAGTTAAATGCTGTAAGTCGACGTTTAACAAAGTCATATATTTTATTTGTTTTGTGTGTAATTTAATCATAATTGCAAATTGAACGTATAAAACTTTCATCGTAATTGCAAAACCACCGAGGCTCCCTGTTTATCGGGTAAAACCCTTGTGAATCAGCTTGGCCGTCTACTTGCTTATCTTCAAGTCGCAGAAAATTTATGCGAAAAAAGTAATTTCAGTTTTGTTATTTTTTAGCTTCACTTTCCTCGCTACTTCGTCTTACTCCATCCCTTCTTCTGCCTATATTACTTTTGTAAAAAATGATTTTTGGACAAATATTATTCATAGAATTAAAACCTGTACGGAATTTTCCGATTGATCCTAAAAAATCGTATAAAATAATGTACACATGTTTATGTTATCGAAACGATAAATGATAATTTATTATACATATAAATATATTTAAGATATTCGTATAAAAACGCGCTTTATAAACATCACGCGATATTTAATATATCGTCTTTTATACATATACATATGAATGAAATACATAAGCGCCGGAAGTGGCCTTTTAGTGCGACGTAAAACAATACACTAAGCAATTTTTCAAGCGCAGTTTAATCAAAGTTCACGGAGAAAGTACTATATAAGAGATGATTTATAATATATATGTGCAACATTCGCGCAGACCGTGTCAGTCGTCAAATATCGAAGTTACTTGTCAGATTGTTAAAAATGTCTCGTGCTGTTTTCACAGTGCTCCTAGTGATTGGCGTGCTTTTTAGTAAGTTTTACGTTACATATGATTTTTTATTATATATTCATTTATCTCACTTAATTTAACTTTCGCATAAATAATTATAATATGTACCGAGTCTCATATTTTTTTAATTTTTTCCCTTCGGCGAAGTCTAACCCGAGAAAAAATGGATTAGATCTAATTTAAATCTAACGAGATAAAAAGAAATGGAAAAATAGATCTAATTAGATCTAAATTAAATCTAAATAGACATAAAGTAGATTTAAATAAATCTAAAGTAAATCTAAATAAATATAAGTAAATCTATGTGAATTTACACTTTTATTTATTATTAGATCTACTTTTGATCTACTCAGATGTATTATATTAGATCATCTCAGATCTGTTCAGATCTGCTTAAATCTAAATCTGAGTAGTTTTAATATAATAGATCTGAGTAGATCTAAGGTAGATTTAATAATACTCTACGTAAAAGTGTAAATTTAATAGATCTACTTATATTTATTTAGATCTCCTTTATATCTATTCAGATTTAATGTAGACCTAATTAGATCTATTTTTCCATTTTTTTTATCTCGTTAAATTTAAGTTAGATCTAATCTATTTTTTCCCGGGAATGCAGGGCGTACGTGACAGACGAAAAGTTCTGTAAAAAGTATAAAAGTTGTCGAGACACTGAATAACATTAAATTAATTGAAAAATTATTTGAATATTGATAATAAATATTGAACATCTGTAAACTCTAACATCATTTGAGCGATATTGGTTGAGTGCCAACAGTATCTTCCGAACAAACTTTCAAAGCGCATATAGGCGTTTATAGCAATAAAAGGACTAAATTTTATTTTCCCCAATGTGTTTTGGATTTTTATGCCATATATAACTTATATTTGTACACAGGCATAACTGGTGCACAACAATGTCCGGAAAATATGCAGTATACCACTTGTGGATCAGCATGTCCACGATCGTGCATCCCAAATTCTGGCCGATGCTCAAAGGTATTTATTCTTTTAAGTTTGTTAAAACGCTAATTCCCAGATAAACAATCCTAAGCAGAAAAACGAGCGCATTACTTCATGATACAACTTTGTTTCAGGATTGCGTCGTTGGATGTCAATGTAATCCAGGTTTTCTGCTCAATTCTCAAGGAAACTGCGTATTACCTGAAAATTGTTAAAAATCGAACCACAGTTTTATGCACCTCTAAAAATGTAAAAATATTTACATTTCTCGATCTTTTCTTGTAGAAAGAGCGAGAGAGGAAGAGATATACAAGAAATAAAAGTAATGAGTTAAAACATTAATAAAAGTTACATTTTTTTCTCTCTCTTTTTGTTTTATATAATTCTCTTTAATTTATTTTCTATCAACATATGTGTATGGGTATATTGAGAATTACCAGACGTCCGGGATTGGTCCGGACAGTTCTGGCAATATATTTGACATTCCAGGTTTTTTAAATAAGTAGTTATATATATAAAAAATAAAGAAGAATATTTTATTAATTTATAGAGGCAACATATATTGTACAACTTATAAGTTGTAAGCTCTCTCAATACTGAGATTACTTTTTCATGAAATATCCGGAAGCATTTTTCCTAAAATAAATCTGAAAACACGTATAAAAAGAACGTACGTATATGTTTGTGTTATCGGTATTTGTTATTGATAATATTTATTATTAACGTCAAGAAGATCGCGCGTGTTGATTTTGTCGAACAACATTATCGTTACATCACATGATATTTACCATACTTTTTATACATACAATATATAAGCGTTTGAAGATCATTAGTATGATCTTCAAACGTATGACGTAATAAAGTATACACGCTAAAGAATTTTCCAAGCGTAGTCTAATCAAAGTTCATATGGAGAGAATGGGTATATAAGAGCATATGTAACATTCAACGCAGACAGTATCAGTCATCAGACAGTGAAGCTCAGTGCCAGATCGTTAAACATGTCTCGTGCCGTTTTCGTAGTGCTCCTGGTGATCGGTGTGCTTATTAGTAAGTTTCACGTTACATTTTTTTGCAATACATTTGCTCTTGTTTCTTCCAATTTAACTTTTGCACGAATAATTATAATATATACTGTGCGTAATATTATTTTACATTTTAATTCCCCAATAAGTTTTGAATTTTGCGATGTCACTTATGATAATTATATTTACACAGGCACAACTATCGCACAACCTACTGCTCAATCGTGTCCAGAAAATCAAGAGTGGACCACTTGTGGATCGGCATGTCCACCGTCGTGCAATTCAGACCCTCATCGAGCTTGCACATTGGTATTTATTAATTTTCTTCATTTTGTTAAAATATTAATATCATACACAATCTTTGTTTTTAAAATATACACTAACATTACATGATGAATAAAATGCGGGTATTTTATGATACAACTTTTTTCAGCAATGCATTATTGGATGTCAATGTAAATCAGGTCTTCTGCTCAATTCTCAAGGAAACTGCGTAGCGGCTCAGGATTGTTAAAAATAAAATCACACCACAGTAAAATTTTTTGTGTCTCTAGAAATGTAAAACTATAAAGATGTAAAAATCTTTACATTTCTCGATTTTTTTGTTTTTCACAAAAAAAAATAATAATAAGTTATAACATAAAAGTTGCGTTGACTTTTTTCTTTTTGTTTTATATAATTTTCTTTAATATGTTTCTATCAACATATGTATATTGACAGTATACATATGTATATGTGTATGTGATTATACTTGTTTACAATGTAATAATAAATAAAAAATAACATATATAACTCTCTGGTTATGTAAGAAAATTATCTTTACGACAAAAGTTTATCATCACAGAAAATTCCCTGTTTATTTTTATGCACTCGTTTAAACTAAACAAGAAACTTGTATTTTAAGCCACGTATTTTAAATACACCAGTTTTAAATACACGTATTTTAAATACAACAGTTGTAGATAACCAAGTTGTGAAAATATATAAATATGATTTGAATGTAAAAAAAGAACATTTGCACATGATGGAAAAATATAAAACCGCACAAAGTGAACGTATAAGCGTTACTTACGCAACTGTCATTCGAAAACACGCGAATCGATATGTCTCGTTTTACTCTTCTCTTACTTGCCATCGCCACAGTGATATTTTGCACAAGTTAAGTTTACGATTATTACGTAAGTCAAGTGTTCTTATAAAATAACGGGCACAGAAACATACACGGCACACAAGAGTACAGCGATAAGAAATCAATAATCAGCAGAATTTATTTTAAGGCCGCGACAGTTAAATGAGTCAACGTTTAGCAACAACGTACATACATTCTGTCCGTCTTGTGTGTGAACACAACAATGCGATTTAACTGTTATTAAACATGTAAAACTTTCATTCGTAGTCGCATATAGCCAGCCGAACATCCTTGTTCACAGGACCAAAAATGGAACCCTTGTGGATCAGCTTGTCCGCTTAGTTGCTTATCTCCAAATCGCACAGGACAAGTATGCGAAACGGATGATTTCATTTCTGTTACTTTTTAGCTTTACTTCGCGGAATTACTGCACAAAAACATATTAAACGTTTGTCTGATCAATCTGTCTCTGACACTTCAAATCTAAACAAAGTTCTGCGAAACATATGATTGCTTACTTACTCAATGATATCGGTCATATACACATGCTTTTTACGTGTCATTAATTTCAAGATAATACTTTTTTCCAGACATGCATATCGCGGTGTGAAGTGCGTTGGGAAAGATATAGTGGAATGGCTCATGTATACCTTATGACACATGTTTTTTGTCGTAAGTGCAGTCACAGAAAAATATGTTTGAGTGAACAATATTAAAAAAACATTACTAATGTTTTTTTTTTAATGTGACTCGCGTTAAACAACGTAATACTTTAAGTATAGTTTATAACATAAATTTCAATAAAAATATAAATTTCTAACGCCAATAAGTTATTACTTCTCCCGTTTCCATCTTGTACAATAATTTAATTTTTTTTTAATACAACAAAGTTTTGAAAAAATTCTGCTTTATTTTAATATACACAAGTAAATGTCTAATATTTCTAAACACACGTACACAAAATTTCATATTGAGAAATTAATCAAAAAACATAGACAAATTAAATCTTCTGAGTTAATGTATCATTCTATTATTAATTAATTACGTAGTTCTTTCCATGTTTTTTAAATAAAAACTTACAAAAGTTTTTATTTTCTCTCTTTCTCTCTGATATAATATCAAGAATAAGTATAAAATTACGACATCTCAAAAGGTTACTTTTTCATAATGTCTTACAGAGATATCGGATAATATTGAGAAACACACATATTCTTCGAAAAACATATTCTTCGAAAAACATATTATGTTTTATGAACTACACACATTATAACGTAACCACAGTTTGCAATATACATAGATGTAAACGTCGCATAATAATAAAAGCAATTCTGTTACATAATTTTTGTCTTTAAATAAGAAAAGAAACAGGAAACATATACTTTTTCCACAATAATTACAGACGAGGAAATTATGACTGTGATATATTGCGAGTTAGATGAATTTAAAGTGATCAATAAATGTTTTGTATATAAAATAAAAAAATAAAACGCAATTTGCAAAGTGATAATAAACAATTGTTTAATATTATATAACTAACTATAAGTAAATATATGACAAAATAAAGAAAAAGTATATAAAAAACAGTATATAAGATTTAAATCCTTGTCATATTTCTAAGAAATGTACAAAGCGACATACGTCACTACTGTTTAAATAAGACCATGTAGTTTCACGGAATAAGATAGTAGCTAATATTGACTGTATATATTTAAGACGTCGCGTACACGGACACTATTAACGATATTTGTGTATCCTACATATCTACATTTTCAATGAAATATTTATATTAAAGATTAGATACAATTGTTCATAAAAATCAAATTATTTAAATAACGCAACATAACGAAAAAACCAAAATTAAAGTAAAAAAATGGATACTTCTTATGATATCATGTGTAAATATATATGCATGTTGTATATTATATATATACATATATGTACACCATAGAACACATCACCATTATTGATAATTTGACTCATTACTTGTGAGCAATATGTCAATAACACATGGAAATTACGCTAGTTATCTGGAAATAAGAAGCGAATCAAAAGAAATATGTCACGGGCTGTAATTATCAGCAGTTACGTGTTTCTTGAAAATAAGATATAGTATATGTTTGTAGGCAATAAAAATAAGTATACAAAAACACAAAATAATTATTACTGATTTCTATCTAAAATTTAAAACGATTTTATGCGTAACAGCATTAGTGTTTTAATCACGAAGCTATAGCTAGCTAATTGAAACAAAAAATTTTTAACAACGAGATAAGAGATCAATAGTGACAATTTATGTAACCAAGAATATTAATTACATAAAGTTTTGAGTTCAACAATAGTTAGTTCAACAATATGATTAGATTGTGAGTCTATTAATAAGAAATATTAAAATTCTCATATAACATGTTGATAACATTTCACCTCCAAAACAAGTCATATACAAGTCTGTGAGATGAGTCCAAGGAGCAAAAAAATAGAAATAAGTGATAGTGAAGATATATATGACGTGGTCACGAAGGCCGCCGAAACCGTTATGTATATAAAGCTCAGTGAACGGTCACCGAAAATCAGTTTGCTTCGAGTTGTCCAAGCGCAAGTGCAGCATCAAATCAAAGATACAGACATGGCCCGTGCCGTAGCTCTTCTTCTCCTCGTTGTAGCAGTCGCTACTACTATTAGTAAGTGTTTCAATCAGCAATAATTATTATTATTTTCAATAAAAGCAATAATACAATCATATTTACGATTGTTGTTAAAGTTTTATTTGTTGCTACATATAAGTTTAAAAACTTAAATATTTATACTTATAGATATTTACACTTACTATTTATATTTATGTTTATATGTATATAACAATAAAAATATTAAATATTTTAATACCGTATAATACTTAATATTATACGGATTTTATGAAATTATTATTACATGATATGAGATGTCCTCTGAATCGTGTTTATTATTATTATTATTTATATAAAATTTGCTCATACACAAATATAATAAATCTACTACTAAGTCTACTAAAATGAAATTATGTCAAAATATGTTGTATACTAAAAATATTAGAGAATTTTTAGGCTCTGTAGTTTAAACTAAAAACATATAGACGGTAATAAGAGCCGAGCCGTTCGCTGAATGTAAAATATTATTAACAGAAAAATAAAAAATAAAAAATAATTAAAAATATTATTTACAAGATATTCGATGTAAAGAAACACCAAAAAAAATTCTTTAGAACATTTACTCATTTATTTTTTTCTATAATTTAGATGCCGGTCCCGCTTGTGGCCCAAACGAAGTGTTTAACAGCTGTGGTTCGTCATGTCCGGCTACCTGTCAACATCCAACACCTCCCGTCTGTACACTGGTTAGTATAGCATTTTTCACTAAATATAATAAACATAGCGTTATGTCCTTAAAATGGTTTTTGTTACATAATAGTAACACCATTCTCTTTTTAAATTTAAGTATAAATTATAATACATCGAGATATGTGAAGAAAATTCACGAGATATATATTGAAATAGAAAGAAAACTTTAAAAATCAATTTGAAAACAATTGCCGTGTAACATAATTTTTACATTTATTTTGTGATGCAGGCCTGCATTCCCGGATGTGACTGCAGGGATGGACACGTGAGAAATTCTTTAAACCAATGTGTACCTCTTCACAGTTGTTAATCGAGCAAGCATGATTTCAAAAAGCAACAACAATATACCGGATTAAAAAACCAAGCGCATCTGATGTGGATATATAATTAAAATTTTGTTTCTAATCATTTATACGTATGCTTTTACTAATACTTAGTTTATCTGGAGATGTGATTGTTAAAGATATCGAATAGTCTATATCTGGTGTGAAGATACTACATCGCATTGTAACAGAACAGTAATACTTTAACAGTTCGTAATAAAACATAACAAATACATTACAACATTTTATTATGATTCGAAATCCTATACATCCATAAAACTTCCAGAATTTTGTTAATAAAATTAATAAACGCAAAATAAACGTACATAAATATTTGTTCGAGTAACGTATGTATGTTATTTCGAACAGAACAAATATTAAACGTGAACATAATGATGTGATTTCACTCGCAACAGATATTTGAAGTTTCGGCAAATATCGTAGACGTGACATGATTTGTCCCCGTTTTCAATGTCTCCAAACCACCATTCAAAAACCCTCGAAAAGATCTGAATCGTCAGTTTTTTAGATGAAGGCAAACGAACGACTGAAGAGAATGTGAGAAGAAAGCAAGAAATTTGAGGCATATTAGGATACCGTGTTTCCGGTCGGCTGCTTCAATATGTTGGACCGACATAAAGCAGAAATGTCGACCGAACAGAAATACTAGCATTCAAAGCAAATAAAGCGCATCGAAAATATTTCGTATAACATACAACTTGATTGTTGATTCCGATGAATGTTGATCAAAATAATTCACGCAATATAAAAACAAATTTCTAATTTCTTTTTGCAAATTGTACAATCAGCACTTAAGTGTTGTGTTTTATATACTAAATTGTTATTAAATTGATAAATTATATATGTTATACTTTTAGCTTTACTTTATCATAACTTAAATATAGTATTCCGCTGCCCGTCCGTTTTCGTCTTGAAATCGTGTTTTTCTACGAAAAAGTCAGCGAGACGAGCTCACGTCTGCATCAAAACCCTTGGAAGACGATCTATAGATCTCAGATAGAGATTAGATTAAGCTATTTTATATTACTGTCGAGCACTTTATCAAGTAAACGTTAGAAATTTTAGGAAAAAAAATAAAATAAAATGTATCTTCACATGTTATAAAACAGAAATAATGAGAAAATCACAAAAAAAAAAAGATAATTAAACGAGAAATAAAAAAAGTGAGTTTAAATGAATTTTAATTCTTGTTGACATGTAACACAGACATGGGAGAATGATTTAAAGAAGAGACGCGTTGTTTTCTAATATGAAAAGCCTAGGGGATGTGATTTATCGCACACGATCTCCCTATTTCCCCATAAAGATTTAATCTACTCCGAGCATTGCAATCCAATCGAAATCTATCATGAATCAGAATTTACGTAAATCGAACAGTTTCATAATAGGATCCACAAATCTTCGATGATTCAGTCGTGTGTCTTCTAACTAGACAATTGTCTCTGAGAAGATTATTGTCCCGACTCAAATTGATAAATCTTTAGATTCCAGAATATTCTGTGAGTAGAAATAAGAGAGTAATCTGTATTATCACAAGATAAATTATAAACATTAAACAAAGATTTAAAAAAAGTTGCCATTCTCAGATAAATAAACAACAGATTGATTTATTATCTTTGTTTCTCGCTTATCATTGTTTACACGAGTTATCTATACTTAATATTACAATTATATATGATTGTAAAAAACACAGAATATAACACGCCTTAAAAATGACGACCAGACAAGCGTCAATGTAAAGTGTCAGACAATTAGCAAGGATATTGATTGTACGGTGAATGCTAAAAAAAAAAATCATATTCACGAGACAGTGATAGACTTTGACGTTGATGGAAGTTTATTGATGATCTATCATTGTGTGTATGTATAGAAAAACTATTGTGCGCTATTTTGTGCAAATATAAAAAAACTAACAATATACACATAAAATTCAGTTAAAGATGAATTGTTCTATAGATATGTTTTTTTTCGAAATCGTTGACATAAAATTTTGTTGTAAAATGGACCGCAATTCTGTGCAATTATATATATATATTCATATCTAGAAATTGATATTATTTCAATTAAAATTCATCCCGTTTATGTAACTTATGTATAAATCAGTCGCTACTCTTGTTGTGTTGTTTGTGTTCTCTTTTCTCATACATGTCATGTCACGTATAACATTTGCGGCAATAATTTTTCCATCTCGATTACGTGAGATTGGTCACAAATGTCGATTAATAAAAAAAAAAAATGATACAGTCGTTAGTCATGTGTAAGTTGTGTAAAAAGATACCTTATCGTTTAAAGTGCTTTATTGATGCACTCGATCATCGAACAATATCTCGGTTAAGTGTTTTTAAGATAGATATAGATACAATCTTTGATTGATTAATTATTAAGATATATTAGAAATTATTTTAAAAAATAACACATTTTTAGTTTCTCTTGCGAGAAAGAAAGAAAGAGAAAGAGAGAAAGAGAGAAAGAGAAGAGAGAGAGAGAGAAAAAGAGAGAGAGAGAGAACTGCCTTCAATAGACTTCTCTCCATTACGAAGATTGCGGTCGTTCTTTTGCGATCTGAAATCAACGGCCATATCGGCGTTGCAAAAGCGAATGTATCCGCGAGCGTATCGGCACGTATGGCAGCCAGTAAAACGCTTTACGAGCATCCAGTGAAAATTAATCGAAGTCGATACACACGCGCTACCCCCGCAATGTTGCTACAAAAGCTCAACGAAGGGACAACGAAAGAAAGAGAGAGAAATAGAGAGAGAAAGAGAGAGAAGAGAATAGTCCGTGAGGATGAGAGGCTCGAGATAGCGAGGGCTCCGGTACATATCCACGGAGCGGATCGTAAAAGGGGTGACTTCACCTGCCTGTGCGATACGATAGATCGCCGCGCTGGTAAAATTTTCGGGGAGCGCCTGTGTACGGTTGCTACGGAAACACGCGAGTACGTCTGTGTGCCGCGCGAAGGATTCGTCGCGGCATCGTCCACGACAATAATCCCCGTAGCTCATCCCCGAGGATCATGGGACATGATTGACGCCGAGCGAGAAACGTGTTCGTAAATACAAATGATTGTCTGTACAACGGAATAAACGAATTCGCTTTTTTGCTTTACAAAAAACAATCCAGACGGATTAGAGACATATGACAGAGCTTTCAATCGCCGTGACAGACGCAAGAGGTTTGAATATGATAGGCAATAGATTTATGTTTTTGCTTCAATCAGCGTTCGATTACACGTGATAGAAAACCAAGCCCGTGCGCGTGGCTAGTTACCACACACGGTAACACGATCGCGTTACTCCTCCGCGGTTACCTGGGACAATATACATGGAAGGAGAGTTGGCAATCTATATAATCCGATTTATACGTATATTTCTTACTACACATCAGCGTGTCCGTCCATTTTCGCTATAGAATTTGCTAATAAATAATTGCTAATAAATAAGTTACTAATGAATAAATAATAACTTTACGAACAAATTTCTTGTATCAAAATTTAACTTGCACGTACTTTCTCTTCATCAAACGGCGGGCGTATATATTATGTAATGTTTATTTAATTTATCGATATAAGGGACTGATTTTAAGCAAAACGTATCTATCTCTAATGAGAGAAATAAGCAACATATAAGTACTTAGTGTGAGATAAGAAAAAGGAAGTTTTATCGCGCGGCAATACACATGCTGGCTATAAACGGCTATGGAGCGTGAAAACTCTTGGCTCCGAAGCCAATGTTCTTTCTCCTTGAGCTAGTTGGTGGCTGCCTGCGGACGTTGCACCGATCCACGGTGTTAAACAGCGGTATAACATTGCAGGTAAAACGTCACGCTCGTGCTTAAAACATCTTTTGTTAATTCTCGATACCGCATTTCTATACGCCGCTGCTGCTGCAATATTTTTTGCGAACTTTTTTCTTTAATACCGCCGCGCGTGTTATTCACGCGAAAATTCTTAGTGTACCTAAAAACCAGTTTCGAAATTTTTTAATTAAGGGACACACGCGTTTTTATTATTTATTTGTCTCCCGATCTACGCGATTGCTAGTAAACTTAAATTGCTAGTAAAATTTAAAAAAAAAACTTAAATTTGCAGACGTGTGTGTAAAATAATAAAACTTTTCGTGGCTCGTGTAATTTTGCAAAGCTTATCCATTGATATTGTACTATCAGCAAAATTACGATTGTCTAATCGCAGATGAATACAATCGCACACATAACAACAAGCTAACAGAGCTTCGACCGAGGTCAATCGCGTATCATTTATTAAGAAACTTTCAAGAAGTTCTGCGAAATTCTTTTGATTTTTACGCAGCAATAATTATGTAATTCAGATTCGCAGAATTGTCTCACTCACTTGTTTATCACCCGTGCATCGTTCCTGTATTTCTCTCATAGCTTCGATTATATATTAATTGATATTATAATTACGTGACTTTTTAAAAACGTGACTAAAGTAAAATCACGTGACATAGAAGAAAGGAAAAACAACACGTGACTTTACTCTCTCTCTCTCACGTGTTGTTTTTCCTTTTTTCCATGTTACGTGACATTCTTTTAGTCACGTTTTTAAAGACACGTGAATGAAGTAAAGTCACGTGACTTTACTCACGTGTTGTTTTTCCTTTTTGAAAAACGTAAATTTCTCACTTCGAAACTTTATCGTAGCCTATCTCCAAATCAGTAGCACAAACAAAAAACGCAACAATACTTTTTTTTAAATGTTTTTTTCTAAAGCGATTGAGACTAAAACAAAATTGATCGATTCAGAGTCGTTCTTGAGATATTGAAAATCTCCTCACTTCTCAATCGCATGAATTTCGCGTACAACAGACACTACCGTGCCTCTTGATAGCACGCTCGTTTTCTTGACCGATTTAGCGCTTAACAAGGAAGTTATTACCGATCATGGAACGCGCACGCTGCGATCTGACATTTTCACAGCCTTTCACCGAGTCGTTCCTAACATAACAGCCACCGCGTATAGCTACCGTCAAAGAAGCAGAAATTTCCGTTTAGAATGGAACCCAAGGACCCTGTTTCGACGTTTGCTTGCACAATGTTTCGCGTCGTTTTACTGTGCTGGTCAATAATCCATCGTGACGGCATGGCTAATCGCGCGCTTCGCCGTTACATCTGTACGAAGAGAATGAGACGCTTTTAAAAGGAGAACGAACTATAGAGATATCGAGATCGTTGACGTTTGAACGCGAGCACTATCTT